GTTAAAATTTATTTTTTTGCCATATTTCTTCTGAAAACAATTAACAGCATCCTGAACGTAGCCTAAATAAACATTAAAATAAAGCATCGTTAAAAATTACCATTATCATCTATTATCCCCAATTTGAGCCCTGGTCTGATTTTATCATGTAATCTTTCATGTCGTACACAAACAAATTTCGTCCAAATGTATTCAGTAGTTTTGGATGTGAATTATACGGGGCTAAAACAAACCTTATCGCCCGTTAATTCGATGCGTTTCGAGAAAAGATAGGAAACAAATATCCCCCGTCTTCACATCCGGTTAGGAAATCATTCGCTATCCATCACACGACACGTGATAACAACGGGATAAAGCACACGTATTGTGGTTTAGTTTCCCGTTAACGAACCTTAGCTTCGTTAGACTTCAATTGTTCCAGCAAATAGCCTTTCGATCACGGTTTGCTCAAAGGCTTAGCTTTCTCTCCTGTCGTCAGGTCAAAGTCACTGTGAATCTTCCCAGGTGAAAATGGTGGTCTCCTACACACGCCAGCTACCAGAAACATTTTCTTGGATGCATTCTTGTACCCAGTTCAAAAACCTTATCTTATACTTTAATATTTTGCACCGTTCACTGTGTTTAACTTTTATTTCGCATTAATTCCATTCACTTACATTCCTAATACGATGCTCAACTTCCAAAAAAATTTAAAATCCTGAGGTTCGAACATCTGAAGCCGAATAATATTGTTTCTTTTTTGGGTTTTCCTGTACTTGGCTGTTATATTTAATGCTGTACATGTATAAGTTTAATTAATCTCTTTTTGTACTATTTTCATTATTATTTCATCATTATTGTATATATTATCAGTGTTTGCTTGTTATTGGCTTCTTGCTGTTGGAAAACACGTAATAAATTAACTGAATTGAATTGAATTGAATTGAAATAATCCTTACGTACATGAAGAAACACATTAGACCAATAAATACAAAATGCAAGTATTACCGATTGTTAAAGCTTTCGCCACTTACAGAGAAATCTATAAACGTCTACTTTGTGATATTTTATGTATAAACAAATACGACAAAAACATTAAATGTGTTTTAATGTAAGCAATACAAAATAAACCACTAAGTCCTAAAACTGAGCTCTCAGACACCCTCTTTTGATAAAGAACTTCTAGTGAGACGCATTCTGAGATTTTACTGCTGAAGTAAGTTTATACATCCACATTCCAACGCAATCTTAAAACACCTGAAAGACGAATTTTACCAAGATAAACCGCGTTCGGAATGTCTTCCACCCTATCGTCTTAAGGAAAGGCTAAAAGCAGTAATGAGGGTTGAAACCTGTTAGCCTCTTTATAACAAAGCAATTTAAGTACAGGGCAGCTTTTAAATTGCCCCGTAACCTATAACTTTTCCGCCATCTTCAAAATACAAAAATGGATAGCTAAATAAATCGAATATGGATTATTCTGTAATGACAACAGTTTCTGTGTTATTCTTTGTAATATCATAACAACATCCAGCACTTGATTTACGATTTCAGCTGGGTATATTTTGACCATCATTGGTTTTGACAGACTTTCCAGTAGCAAAGGAATAAAGCATTAGAATATATGTAGCCTGAGAACCCTCAATGCGAATAACGCGACGTAACAATGCCCTACGCGTAATACAAAACCTCTCATTGTAATTTAAGAAGCAGTTTGTATTCTGCACTTACACAAAAGCTCATTCTACGTGACGTCAGCTTATGCAACGTCAGTAAAGAACCTGAAACCAGGCACTTAGGTCAATTACTGAACCAGGAAATATAACTTACAGGCACATTTCAGATGGCGAGAAAACAATGTAGAACACTTACATCCAGATATCTACCCCTTGCATCATTTCCCAGTTACAGTCGGCTGACAATTGTACTTGGAAGAGTTGCAGGAACACGATGTAACGCTTAGCTGCTTTGTTCAAATTTTAAGTCAGCTGGGAAATTCAGCGTTTCACACGAGTATTCAGTAACACGCAACATTAAACAGATTACTGCATGACGCAAACTGCTTAATTCCCAGCGTGTACATAGAGTTGTCACTGACAGAGTGTTTCGTATTCATAAATGACAAAAAAAACCAACAAAATAAATAGTCCGCCATTTGAACGCAATAGCCTAAGTCACAGAAAAGATTGGATTGGGGAAGGAGGGACTCACGATAACCAAAAAATAAACCAATATTATCGTGGATGCATTTAGGGGAAAAACGTTTGGCTTTCCTTGAACCATTATTATGTAGAATGTGGAATAAAAACATGGCTACAAAGCGAAATATGTTTTTTTACAATGCCATTTGAGACACGTATTCGTACCATTTTTTTAAAAAAAAATATTAAGCTAAATTTTAATCAATTTATCATTTCTCCTTACCCTTCCAAAGGCATAACTTACGGCAAAAACGACAGAACTTCACGACACTGGCTTCCCTTAGCAGTCCCAGAATTAGTTGCTCGTTTAGAATTCTGAAGTTCCTTATAACTACAAGGTCGCCGGGACTGGGTCTCGCCTAAGAGGAACGACCAGACATTCCTCTGTCTCATAACGTAACGTAAAATGACACTCATAAATACTGACCTAAAATGCGTAGGTAAATATTTATCGTGTTCAAAGAGTATCCATTTTCTCTGACAACGATAAACGTATCCTCCCCCCCACGTTATCAGCATTTTGGCAGAGACGTGATAATACGATTACAGAATTTCCCTTATCGCCACTCAATCTGTATGTTTTCAAACAAAGTGCTGTATCATGTAGACTTAATGACGTCATTCCCGTTGAAAATGTATAGGTATAGTCACGTTCAAGTTAAAAGCAAAGGTGGAAGATTATTAGAAGAATAAGAGGGAACATTTAAGTTATAAAAATACAATTTTAAAATATAAGCCTGTCTTGTTGAGATTCAAAACATAACATATAATGGGAAACGAAATTAAAGCACCTGGATTTGTAGCCAAATCAACTGCAGTAGTTACTTGCGACTTGTAAAACATTAATACAAAAAAAAACATTCATAAATATTTTCACATGTGGCCCACAATCCCTTAACAATACCAAGTGATAACCAACGTCGGTTATTATAGAGATAATATGAAAAACATACAAAAATACGCGATATTAAAAGCAGGTAGAAACTTGCATGTGTATACAAATGGATGGGCAGATAAACAAAGACATGCATGGTGCATGATAAATATTTCCAATAGCGCGAAAAAACCAAGGCTTCATCCTGAATCCAACCAAAAACATCGTAACTGAACATCGCATTCATCCATTAGACGCATGATAAATGATTGAAGGGCAATCTGACTGCACTGGGAAAGACGAAAAGTGAAAGGCAAAGTCACCTAAAAAGATGAATCAACTCATTCGTCATTACTGTAAGATGCCCGCAAGTCAATAACGATCAAAATCCTTTCACTCCAACACTCACCCACATTCTTGAGGTCCATCAACTTTTGATCTACAGTTTCTGCCAGAGGTGAAATTAATCATATACCACAACACCACACCGTTTGAGTTATTGCTGAATGACCCTAAGATAGCAACTTTTCCCTCGAGATAGATTCGACATCTCCCATACATCGATTATCGAAAAGTGAGAAGAAACGAAGGCAACTTCACTGTTTTACGTCCACCCGACACCAACCAATACATTCTAAAAATCTATTTCGACAAACATAAGATTTATTGAATTAAAAAAATTTTCATTCAGACACAAGAACTTCTGAACACAGAAATGGCAGCAACATTTAGGGTAGGCACTTGCTTTGATATTAAAAATTGCAGACGTCGTTCGATTGCAGAGGTAAAACAATAAGTCTGATGATGTTCTGGGCTTTGGCATGTACCTACGAGTCTACACGGCGCCAAAACCTAGATCATCCTCACCACCGTGAAAACCTCAAATCTCACAACATAATTCTGAATGATTTCATAGGAAAAATGTAATATGTAAAATATTCTACTCATATGCCTGTACAGTTTCTATATTTGTACCTGGAATTAACAAGAGTTTCTTAATAACAGTATATACGAGCGGTTCCAACAGCATGCTTCCCAGTTTTATCTGCAATCACGAAACCAAGAGTTTAACGTTCGTCCACCCAATTCTATTACGTCATACTATCATTAACCCGTCTATCAAAATGAACCTAACCTAAATAGGAGCAAACCAAGACACGTCCACTTTGAGTTGTGATGAGCGTCTCAGTACGCATGAAATATCTTACATTGCTGTGTGCAAGTACGCTACTCAAACCGAATGTAGTTAGCGATTATTTAAGCAGTATTGAAAGTGCAATAAATAATTCTGCTTAACCTTAAACAGTGAAGGGAACATGATGAGCAGCTGTGCTTTCTCTCTGTGTACATGTAAGCTCCTCTCACTTTCTCATTTGAACTCGTGAGGTCAGGTTGGGTACGTCAATGTTACATCAATGATAATGTGCTTTATATTGTGCCTGACTGTTGATTCTTCCTGGATATTCACCCTCCACACCCAATGGGTAAATCAAAAGCTTTACAAAAACATAACCTCAACATATCAGGTTTTGATAAAAAAAAATACTGTCCACTTTCAGTAATTTACAGTTAAAATAAACTGCTCTACAGTGCTTTGTACGTTATTTGCACAAAGTACCAAAAAATTAATGCATAATGTAATGAAAATTACTGTCTTCTGGGATGCTGTACCATGTAGTCTCGTAGAGATTTGATCTAAAACATCTACACAAATATCAAGCATTTAGTTTGTTTTTTATCATTTAACAAAATAAAAATAAAGTCCTCATATCATGCTTCCTGCAGCTACAATCCTGAAAGGTCTAATGTAACTGTTTTCCTGCTAATAACTCAGCCCACCCATGGAGATAGTTATTTCTCAAGGTGAAAGAAAATGAAAATGTATTGAGCTGAATGATAGGAAACTGGAAGATATATGATGTAGGTTGTGATTGTAATGACATCCACACAAAACACAGTAATTTTATTGATAATACTTTGCCGCTAGTACCAGTTTCAATGTCTCCTGTTTCACAATACAAAACCAGTTACAATACCTGAAAATGCAACAGTATATAACTATATGAGATGAGGACAATGTTCTGCTACGATGGTTTCATTTTCCAGTTAAAAGCGGGCGTGTTACTGTGTTTCGACACAGTTCATCGACTCCTTACATGAAATCGATGCCTTAATATATATTCATCTGCAGACAGGGCAGGTCTCCAGGACATTGGTTTTTAATTCAACTTCAACATATTTGGTTGCTCAAGAAGATTCTAATGCAATTATTCACCGTGAAAGCTTTAAATCATACATAAACTATTTCTAAATTTGATTTAGTCAGTAAATATGTAATTTAGTCTGCACAGACGCAGACACAGAATGACCATCGTGTTTTGTTACCTTGGATTACTCGGCGAAATAATTTTGAGACCACGCATATCTTTAATGTTCTGGTTATATTCTGTTATGATATGGTTGACAGAAAGAAACCATACAAATCACAGGGTTAAAGAACAAGATTTTTTAAATTCAATAAGTCAGCAATTTGGTCTTGCGTTTATGAAACAGCATTCTACTGTATTTCCAAGTATGGAATATTTGGAATTTTAATAGCCGTCAGTCAACTGCAGTCTTTAGAAAATTCATCACAAGCCATGAATTTAAGAAATGTTTTCGAGACCAATTCCTTCACACTCAATAAAGTTGGAATCTGCCTCACCATTTATCACAGTGAATTTCGCCTGTAAGACATGACAACAAAATAATATCAGTATATTTATTTTGCACAAATATAGTTTCATTTTTACTAATTACATATTTGTGCAATGTGGTGCGACTATATACGGTATTATTGCTTCTGATGATTATTTGCTTAGACAAAGAAAACATTCACTTATTAACATAGCACTGGAGACACTGACCAGACAGCATCATTAGGGTGATGAAACTACACAGTGCAACAACCCCGAAGATAGCAATCTTCAGACTCACAGCCATGAAAACCTCAAATACCACAACCCTATCCCCTCCAACAACACTCGGTACTTCCCTCTTTCAAAGGAATTAAGTTTGTCAGTTTTCATTCGTAATATCTTTCTGCGTTAGAATATAAAATAAGCAAACAAACAATTATTGGTACTTGTGGGTTATCGGGATACAAAACGGTGGAGTCGAATATCTGGAGTTGGATTGGCACGGAAAACTGCTGAGTTTATATGGCGGCGTGCAAATGATAATGGCGATATTTTTAAAACGATTCTAAAATCTATAAGCGAATTTTGGCCTCTGAAGACAGGTAGTAACAACAATTAACATCTCATGCATATCCAAATAAAATAAAATAATCCGTCATTTATTGAAATAAAATATAGTAACTTTCAAGTATATGTCATTTATCCACACACATTATCCTAACCTAACCTATTTTTAAAGTGATGTGTCCCGATAACCCACAAGTACCAAATTATTTTATATTCTAATACACTACATGGTATGCAAAGTTTTAAGATCTTTCTGTGTTAATATACAAAAAAACTGCTTGAAATTTGAAGCACATACTCAGATCTGCAGGTCTGAAAGAAGTAAAATGTAATATATTATATCATATATTTAATAAAATCCAATTAGTCTTACCTCTGTCAACAGATGTGCTACGTGAATGGCTGTCCGAGTATGTAAAGACACCGGCCCACATTTTACACGGGATTTTCCATGTGCAATTGCCATGAGTAAGATCATCTGAAAACAGACATCAACATATACTTTAAACAAGATAGTATGAGCCCCTAAATTAGCCAAGCGGCACACAACACTTCTGAAATCAGGTGGTAAAGTCTTGGAGTCCCGTGTCAAACGTAAAACTTCACGAATGTAAAACAAAACAACCCCAAAACCCTTATAGCTCATATTAAGATGTTGGTTCCCTTTGTAACCCATCACGGGTAGTGCCTGAGGGAGAAAGTTAAGTATTACCTGATCTTGAGAATAGGAGTCTACGCAGGCTCCTGTATAGATGGACTGAAACAGTTCATCCGCAGCTTTCATTCCCACCTCTTCAGCCTTCAGGTGTCGTCCACCTAGGGCAGAGCCACCCAGAATGCAACCTGTACTCATTTCTGCAACAAGACTGATAATGATAAAGAACTGTAGTAAGTTTCTAGTTAGTTTGTTGATTCGCAATCTTATACTACTTCCAAAAATTATAAAAAAAAAAAAAACATTTCAGAAAGTAGCGACTCAAAGATGTACACTTCTTCTTTAGACATTAACAGTACGCTCAGCTAGTAAAGAAATTCCCATCCGTTTATGAAACCAGAATTTTCATAACCATGTTAACCAGTGAACCAGATGAATCCAGTGCACTCTCTCACACCCTATTTCCTTAAGATCTAGTTTAGTATCATCCTTTCATCTATGTCTAGGTCTTCTGAGTGGGATTTCTTCAACCTTTCCAAACAAAATTTTGTATTCATTTCTCATCTACCCCGTCCAAAAATAATTCAGAAAACAAACTTACTTGATTCCAGAGCCGTTTCCAACAGCCTCATCTGGATCCTCCTTGTACCTTACAATTGACACATCTACGTTCTCCAAGGCCTTCCTCAGAGTTTGAGCAGCGGTATCTGCCATAGCATGAGCTACCTGCGACAATTTAACAGTTTTCCTGAGCATGCTTTCATGACCTCTAAACTTACAAACACTAACACCAAACTTGTTTGACATCCTTAGTTACCAAGTAAACCAGCTACCAATAAAAACAAATTTGCACACTAGTCACCTTAACTACTGTCAATATGGTTACCGATTAATTTATTTTCAGCAATATATGCTGTAATTTATACAATGAAGTGGCATTACAACAACATTAAAATACATTCTTAATTTATGAAGCATTTTTCATTGCACATCCAGCTTCCCATATAATGTATGTTGAGACAGAATACCTAACTGTGTAAATGGCTATTAGCTGAATAACCAAGGCAAGGGCAAATTTTTTTTTTTTAATACTATGTCCAGACTGGTTCCTTTACTACCCAGTCTCCTGCCCAGTGCATATCAGGGACTATTTCACTGGCAATAAAGTGGCCACATCATGAAGCTGACTACTCACTTCAATTTAGTGCCAAGGTTATGAATACATGGATCTTTACCTCCAATCCCCATACATGCTCCAAGACGTGGCATAAGAACGATTTTATATAACATGACAGATTTCTGATAACCTTTACAAATATTTTCTTAACATAAAGTTATTCTTTATTTTCTAAACACTACTTTCATGTCATTACATTTTCAATTTAATTAGTTATTTTCCACAACAATTTTAGTTATTTCATTTCACCTTAATGGGCAGAGAACCGGCCACAAAAGCCCATCCTCTTATACGTACAACGCGGCCGCTCTCGATTAGATTGACAGCCTTCAACTGTTTCACTGGTTGTACTCTTATATGCACCTCCCCTCCGCCTCTCGGAAAATAACCTCTGAAAGAAATAAACCCGTCAACATCTATAATTTTAGAGATGCTGTAAGTAATATAAGGATACGCACATGTGCACATATACTACACATCTTCAGAGAATCATGGTTTTTTGGTTTCTGAGTCACTTGATCAGACTGTTCATACTTAAGAAACACATGCAAACTCTTCGTTACAAATAAAAGTCAATCAACTTTAATCCGTTCTTTCAGAATGAGTCAGATGAGACAATGAGCAAATTCTACATGCGCCAGGCCAGCAGAGCGTGTACAAGCACACACGTGAACGCGCACACTCACAGCTTCTGCAAAATGTTTACTAACCTTTTGATAATCTTGTAATCAAAGGTACCTCCAAACTTCTCCAGAAGTGGCCTAAATACCTGTAAAAAAAATAGGTACTTGTGGGTTATTGCAACACATCGCTTTAAAAATAGGTTACGTTAGGTTAGGTTAATGTGTGTGGATAAATGACATATACTTGAAAGTTAACCTAACCTACCCTATTTTTAAAGTGATGTGTCCCAATAACCCACAAGTACCAATAAAATAAAATAAAAGGGATTTGCACAGAACATTAACAAACTGACAGAACTACTGATACCAACTCTTATCCATTAACAGAATATTACAACTACTAATTTGTGCTCAGTTGTCGGTTCTTCCAAGCCCATCATTGTCCAATTCATCTCACATGATGTAAGCAAAAGGATCTTCAAACTCACAGAGAGCCTTGTTCAACCATTACGTTAGCATACAGCTCCATACAAGAAATCTATCAAACAGTGAATAATGGTACAAAACAGTACATCATAAGAAAATTCCTTATGCTGTGTACAATAAAGGATTAGATCAGAGATGAAGTCCCAAAGAAGATAATGTTCACTGACAATACAAAGAAATACCATCAGCAAAAACCTTATTAAATGGTTATTTATTTACATATGCAATTCATGACACATTAGAAATAGATTTTGTTTCATACATTAAAATTCTAGGCATGTACATTCCCAAATTAGTTTCACTGGATAACAAAGGATAGCAACACATAAAAAATGTCCCAGATAATGAAGGATAATGACGCATAAAAAAATGTACCAATATGAAGCAAACCCAAGCATATGTGCATAGCAGTTAACGCAAAATTATAGAAGACACTCGTGTATACACACAGTTAGCAGTTTAATTTCATTATATGTAAATATACAAGGTGTAAAAATAAAGGCCAAGATGGCACACCTCAGTTATGTAGTCAATTTGAGGAGCCATCTCCGCATTAGTTCCTCCTCTTAGTTTCAGTATCGTCATTCCATTGCCAAACAGAATACAGGGAAGAGCAACTTGGATCAGCAAACCAACACTCCTGAACAAAGTATCACCAATCAATCTTTCAATATTCAATGACGCACGAAGACAATTACAGTCAACTACTACATTCTCAGGCAATTTGACCCACTGTCGATGGTCTTCTGGATGCAGAATATCTGTGAGCCCAGGCTATGTAACATTAAGAGAGGAGGGAAGATGGAAAGAGCAAGGGGAGGTAAGACGCCCCATGCACCATTGCTTCCCCTCTCCCCCCACACCTCAGCAGGCTGGCCACCAATGTGTATATTTGTGACGGCCAACAAAGCTCATAAATATCATGTGGCAAGTATAACTAGCAATGGCTTTATCACTGCAAGGCCATGTTAATATCATTGTTTAAAATACTTAGTGGAGTGTACACAGTGAGAGATGTCGGAATTACTGCAAATACAAAAATGTGGTGGGGAAAGTGGTCAAGGAACTTGTAATATCTTGAAATATTTGGAGTGACTGAACAAAAACACCACTTGGCAGTGTCAGCCCCAGCCAGAATTTGAACAAAGTACCTGCTGAAGTTATAACAGACATCATTACATGAACAGAAATACTCACCCAGCTGTTCCTGTATCAGCTGAATATTCTCCACATTTCACCTTTCCTGGGTGAAAAACAATTTCCTCAGAACCAATTTCACCTCCTCTTAGCTTTCCTCCACTTATATCTCGCACTAACTCCACTCCTGCATAAATAAAAACATTACTTACACGCAAATAATTAATTTTATCATAATTAATTCTTCAATAGTTGAAGGATAATCTAAATAATCCACAATCTTAAAATCACATCCATTGACTGAGCGTATTGTACAGATGAAGACAAAAGAAGGATTTGAGGTTCTCACGGCAGTGCAGTCTGGTTGATGTTTACAAACGTTTCATAGATGCTTTCTGCTTCAATCAACGGGGCAGAAAGGACAACTGAAACACTGGTAAACTTCTACCAGACCACATGGCACTACAACCCAGAAGACAACAATCTTAAAAGACAAAGAACCTGACAAAAAATTAACACAGTTGAAGAAATAAACTTGAATTCAATGACCAGACCACATAAGATTAAACATGATTGCCATTTCACATGATAGCCACTTCCCTGACACCAGTTTTCAATATTATTATCCAATCTCCTTCTCCACATTCCAAGACACCTGTTTCAATTAATTTTATGTTTAAATTTCTTGTCTCTCCCCATTATAACTTCACTGCTTGTCTAACTACATATAACATGTTATAATAATATTTACTCTCTCCTTATAAGATTTTAAAAAATGACAAAAAGTTTAATTCTATTATAAAAAAATTACCTTTCAGATGTTGGGCTCTTAATCCAGGATTACTTCGTCCAGCACGAATGTTGACTACTCGAACTGGTATCTGCTTAAGGACACTAAACGCAAGTGCCATTCGAAGTATCTGGCCTCCCTGTAATAATCAATATGAGATTAATTACATATATGCACAACACAAGACTTGCCAATCACAACTGTTATAAAATTTGTTTGCAGTTATACCTCATAAAGTTACCACCATATCCCTTGCCTGAATGAGTTCTTCAAACAGGCACCAAACGTCATGGTCGAGTGGTTATCACTCCTGCTTCGTATATGGGAGTCCCCAAGTTAAAACCTTGGCCCAGAGACTGGATATCCTGACAGAGGTATTTCATGGTTTCCCTCAGTCCATCTAGGAAAACAGCAGGAGACTACCAGGATTAGGCCACGAGAGCTTCCTTCCACATCCTTTCCAATTCATTGTTCACTATCATCCTCTCATTTGATGCAATATAGTCTGAGATACTGAAAAAGCACAGTTATATAAATAAATTCAAGTATGCAAGGAGTATTCAAATGAACAACAAATTTGCTACAGTTATGGAACAAACACATCACTGAGGAAAATCACAGACAAGTCAGCCTGGTTGGCCAGTCTCTTGGCTAAGATTTGAACCCAGGACCACCACAACACAAAGCAGGCGTTCTAACCATAAGACCATAACATTTGATGGACTGCACTATATTTATACAGCTCACTTACTATATTGATTAGATATAAACTGACTATCTGGATAATATTCACGATGATTTCTATTTATGTCACCATATCCACACCTGCTCTGGGATCTACCAAATTGCCAATATAATGACTGCAGGCAATTTCTTTCCCTGGGAGTGAAGTTGTCAGATCATAAAGCTTACCACTCATCTCCATCACATGCCAATAGCACTCACATGTTTTGACACAGCAGTAACTTTACACGTAATATTTCTAACTAGGTGAATTCTTACCCCTTCAAGAATTCCACCGTCGATATCCTTTATCAATTCTGCCATTATATAGCTTTTCACTACGTGCGTTAAACTTCAAAAATCACTTACATGTGAGAATTACCGCAGTAACAACCCAAAGAATAACTTCTACACGACTTAATCCAATAGGCAGTGACGACGCATTATTACCACTGGCACCAAAAAAGTAATAGTCAGACACTACCAACATATAATACCAACTGTGTATGAGGAAAAATGACGTCTGCAGAGTTACGTGATGTTAATATGAGTGGAGAAGATTTTGCACCATTAGAACCATCTCTCCAAAATATTATTGACCAGCGTTCACTTCGTTGGATTTTCGTCGGGGGAAAAGGAGGCGTTGGAAAAACAACCTGCAGGTTTGTAGTCTATAGCAGTGTACTCCACTTTTCATTTAAGGTTAGCGCAGCCATTGTTATGAAGGTCGACCAATTCGTCATAGAATGAAGAGTTCACATATTTACAAAATGTGAAGTAATCTTCAATTTTATGAATTTCTTATATATGACATTGTTTCATTCTCCTTGTGTCTGACTTCCTTCTCATGCTTAGTTTACTGTCTAGTCATCTTTCCATTTGGTGCAACATAACCAATGCAGCTAAAGCATTATTAGTTAATTAGTTATTTCTGTTCTCATCTTGATAATAATCTCCAGGTGTGAGAGGCATAATGTATTAATCTTTATCTTCATTCCTTGTACATGCCTTGTACAAAGGAGAAACCAATATTGAATGATGTGCTGCATATACTTCTCATTGAGGATGTTTCATTACTGTTGCTTATGTCATGTGGCACCATTACCAAAAGTACCAAAATCAAAATTTTCACCACTCTTAGGGACTCACGTCTCATATATTTTGTTACTTTTGTTGCAGTTGTAGTTTAGCAGTGCAACTGGCCAAAGTACGTGAAAATGTTTTGATTATATCCACGGATCCTGCACATAATATCTCAGATGCTTTTGATCAGAAATTTTCAAAGGTGCCAACTAAAGTGAAAGGCTTTGAAAATCTTTATGCTATGGTGAGTCTAATAGATTTTATTTCTGTTAATTATAAGCACTTGTAGGTAGCCATTTGTTTCAAATTTAAGATCACATTATTGTCATAAGATATTCTTTATTCTGATTTTTGGAAACTACTATTAATGCTTAGCTGCGGTGTCTCTTGGTTTCCCTTTATTATGTCAATGAAACCCATGCGGTGCATTCTGACTTAATAAAGAACTCAAAAATTTACTACAGCCATAAAAAAGTGGTATCATAGAAAATCTGGTAAATATGTTTCACATATTGTTTTTCATTTACCTAATTTCAATTTGAATATTTTATTTTATTTTTTTCGAAGTGACAGTTCTCCTAAGAGGTTTTAGCTCTAACAGTGTTCATGTCGTTTATCCTTAATAGAATAAGTTTCTCATTAATCCTTAATCTTTGCTGCATGTAACAGAGCATAAGGCTTTGTTTAACTTACTGAAAAATAATTTATAAGTGGCATTTATTTAAATGGGAAAGCAAGGGGCAAAAACCAAGCATCAGACATGGAACCAGTGTTCAGTTGAAGTCCCTTTCAGTCACTTATAGAAATTCTCTGTTTGTGCTGAAAAATAAGCAGTATAATTTTTCTTAAATGTTAAATATAGGAAATAGATCCAAATGTTGGTTTCAATGAACTACCAGAAGAATATTTTGAAGGAGAAGACGAAGCTATGAAACTCAGTAAAGGCGTGATGCAAGAGATTCTCGGGGCATTTCCAGGAATAGACGAGGCCATGAGTTATGCGGAAGTAATGAAGTAAGTAATGCTGAATCATACCGAAAGTTCGGAATATTTGGTACGTCACCTTTTAAAGTCAAGATTTATTTCTCGTTCTGCGGCCCAAATAGCATCCGATCCAACGGGTAACACAAGCTCTATTTTGTGAATTGTACTGGAACCTGAAATTAACTAATCACCTCATCCAGTGCTTAGGCCAAAAATTAATCAACTTTAATAATAACTTTCTTTTATTTTCAGACTTGTGAAAGGCATGAACTTCTCAGTGGTGGTGTTTGATACGGCCCCAACTGGTCATACCCTCAGATTACTCTCGTTTCCTCAAGTGGTGGAGAAAGGCCTTGGAAAATTGCTCCGACTTAAAATGAAGATTAGTCCATTCATTACTCAGGTTATAGACCAAGTAAAACTTTTCTTTTATATATGTAATATGAAGTATTTTCTAATTTCTTAGATGGAAGTTTTTAATAGCGCTGTTACTTCGTGCGAGAGCTTTAATGTCATAATTTGTTTCCTTAGATATGTTCTATGATGGGTTTGACAGAATTTAATCCCGATTCTTTCTCTGCAAAAATGGAGGAGATGCTCGCTATAATTCATCAAGTGAATGAGCAGTTTCGTGATCCAGTAAGTACTGTCACAATGAACTGTCAGGTTATGCTCCGCTAGTTTGTGTTTATCAAAAAAAAAACTGATCCAGATGCAGAAATAGTAAGAAATTATCAGAAATGATTGTCATTTGACTGTTTATAAGATAGTAGAATGACTATGACTGATTTTGATCAACTATTGGAATATAGAACTTGAAAATTGTTCTTAGATGGTACCAGAAAAAAATCAGTGAGTGGCAAAAGTGAAAACAAATTGGTTCAGATTGTTTAGTAAAATCGGAAGAAATTGAACTTTCGGAAAATATGTGGTGTGGTGGTAAGAGTTTGTGTCATAATACTTCACCTTCCTGCATACAAGTAGCAGTAAATATATTTTGATGAAGAAAACAAATCTCGGTACTTGTGGGTTATCGGGACACATCGCTTTAAAAATAGCTTAGGTTAGGTTAGGTTAATGTGTGTGGATAAATGACATATACTTGAAAGTTATTATATTTTATTTAAATAAATGACAGATTATTATATTTTATTTGGATATGCACGAGATGTTAATTGTTGTTAAAATCTGCTCTACTGGAGGCCAAAATTCGCTTATAGATTTTAGAATCGTTTTAAAAATATCGCCGTTTGTACGCCACCACACGAACTCAGCTAAATATGAATCTATATGTTGTCGGGTTGTGCCACTGTTTTTTATTCCGCCGTTTAGCTGAAATCCCAAATTTTTAACATGGTACCGAACAGCAATAAATAACTGAACGAACTCACAGATAACGATAACTGAGTATAGGGGTATTCTGATATGCGTGCGCAGTTTTCCGTCCAATCCAAGTCCAGTATTCGACTCTCTAATTTTGTGTCCCGATAACCCACAAGTACCCAAACATCAATGTTGGAACGTTTATTTTATTACAGAAAGTTTCTTTAAATGAAAACTAGCATGGGAAACATTAAATAACTGAAGATGTTATCAGTTGAAAAGTATTGCAGCTGCACTATTAACAGTGTGAGGAATTAGAATTATAACAAAAACGATGAGTAGACCAACAGTTCTTTGCTTTACAGGAGCAAACATCATTTGTTTGCGTGTGTATCGCTGAATTTCTATCGCTGTACGAGACAGAAAGATTAGTACAAGAGCTCACAAAGTGTGGTATTGACACACACAATATCGTTGTGAACCAGCTGCTGTTTCCCACAAAAGGAGAACAGCCTTGTCGAATGTGCGCCGCAAGACACCACGTGCAGGAGAAGTATTTGGATCAGGTAATTATTACTGAAATTAATGTCATATTATTTTCCCACTGAAGGACAATAGAAAGTTACCAGGACCAGGGTACCTGTCTTAGTCTGACCTCTCCCCCTCGACCAATCTGGCTAGGGAGGCCCTACCAGTAGCTCTTGGGGTCACTGAGGTACTCAAGCCCCACCTCCACGACAAGGTGCAGGTACCATTAAGTGAGGCTCATTAAATATGTCAATACATGTTTATATTTATAGATTTCAGATCTGTACGAGGACTTCCACGTTACGAAGCTACCGCTTCTGGATCATGAATTACGAGGCGTGGAGCAAGTGAAGGAATTCTCTGCGATTCTTGTGAAACCATTTGAAACTAAATGATACATTGTAAATGTTGGCGTTCCTTTGAAGTTATTTCAGAATGTCTCAGATTATTTCATGGGTTGAAATTAACTGTTGTTTAAAATTATGGAAATATTATTCGGTGTTTAACCCGATCGTCTGTACATTTCCTTATGTTCGGAAGAGAATAATTTGTTAAATGCTTAATATACTCACACCCCATTACTACCGGTTCTTGAAATATGTGGGTTTTTGGTCTCCAAGGCGCGCTGTTGGACCCGACTGTCGGAAGTACGGCGCAGCCTGTAACGAGAAGTCAACCTCAAACAGTAATATTTTATGCGCTGTCGACTTCAATATTTGGGGATCTCACAGTGAAGATGTCAGTTTTCTCGTTCTTCTAGGTTGTGGCGGTGTGTGTGGATTTTTTGTTCTTTGTTTCTTCTCACTTCTCCAACTGACGAGCGGAAGAGATGGAACTTTTTTCTGTGGATTTAGAAGTTCTCGCAGCGCTTCTTAAATATGAAATATTTCTAGGGGAGGAAAATGGGTCGATAGAATTTAATTTTACTGTGTTCAATATATATGTTTTGTTTCTGAAGTAGTTTTGGCAAGTGCACTTTTAAACATTATGCAGAAAATATATTAAAAAGAAACTAGAGCATTAATATTATATTTGATTAAATATTTAATAATTATTTAATTTGCTGTACTTCCAAACATCCATGTATATAGTCAATCTTTGCTGAATCCATATTTGCGCTACGCAGTTTTAAGTGTGCATTGCGTTATTGTGACCGCTGTTTGCTTATACGAATAAAAAAGTATAATTCAGGTAAAAATCCTTGTGTACTGTAATTCAAAAGATGTGACATCATTTATCTGATGAATAATTGCTGCTTATCTACTGTCAGAATTATCACGTTATTAAACTGAAATACAGATTTATGACATAATCATAATAGAAAATTAATTTATTAATGTATATACAAAGTTGCATGTACATTCACACACAACTGGAAAGCAATTACATCAACACACACTCAAAATGAAAATAAAAATCCAAAGATCATTCACACGACAAAAATATCCATTAATTCTTTCACACATTTTTCAAACTAATTCTCAATAGGACTTGAGGTTTTCACAGTGATTGTGATATAGATGCTGATCTTCTGGAATGTAGTGCCATATATCATTTTTTTTGGATGAATGGCGACATTTCAGAGAAATGTAGTGCCTTCAAGGCTGAAGATTGCGGTACCACCAAGTTCCTCTGAAATCTTGGCACACAGATGAAATAATTCAGTGTGCAACAATCCAGCAGATAACCACAGTACGTAAATGAAAACCTTTCATATTTATCGGATGGTATCATCTGCGACCTATCACCTACACAAAATTACATTAAAAATTCATTAACACCGTCATTAACCATTTTCAGTCCATGGACACGGCATATTTTATTCCACTAGGTCCACTTTTAAGCGTCCCACTATACGCCATGTAGGCACTTAGGGGGAGTGGAGGTATAACACCTACTCATTCTTAACCTTGGCACTAGATGGGGGTAAGTGGTCAGCATCACGCCCCGGCCGGCTTTACCCCCGGGAAAGGACCCCGATACCCATTGTATAGGCTGGGTGGGCCCCAGAACCGGTTTGGACACAAGAGGCTAGAAGAAAAACCCTCTTCCCCCGTCGGGAATCGAACCCCGGTCGTCCAGCCCGTAGCCTGTCACTATACTGACTGAGCTACGCCGGCTCATCCACTAGGTCCACTGCCAAGTTCAATTCAATGTACAGTTTCACTATGATTTTTAATGTGAAGCCTCCTGCTATCTATGAGTGGCCATATGAATTATTTGAAGTTTGCATGGCAATTACCACGTTTGTTTATATGCTGGCTAGCAGTCTGACCACTCACCCCATCTAGTGCCAAAGTCAAGAATGAGTAGGAGCTATATCTCCTCTCCCCCCCCCCCAAGCGCCTACATGGCGTATAGTTGGACAGCTTTACTTTTTTTAGCAGTCTGATGCTTCTACTCCAAATTTGTGTTATGCACCAATTTATGATTGCTAGGAGACAGAAAGCATTATGATTATATGGGAGAAATTAGATGATGAGTTTTTTTGAGTATGTGAATAATGATAATTTTTTTTGCAAATTATTTGGACCATACTGCTAAAATTTACAAAGAATTAAAATAAAAATATCAGACTGGAAATGGTTAACGAACGTCACAAAAATCACACAGTATTGAATTCATTTCACAACCACAACAAATTATATCATACAGATGCTTCATCCACACAAATTCTTACAATACGTATTTTATATCGACGACATATTTTCAGAATGACTGGACAGCTTTTCTGAGTCGCTGGTGAATTATGCGTATTTGGCACAGACACTACCGAAAGCAGCGAAACACTACACAATTTGAAGCTGATTCCTAACACAGGTGTTGTGACCTTGAGAAAACGTAATACATCGTGTTATGAGTTTTAGCGTGTGTGTGTATATATATATATATACACATATATATTTATTTATTTAAGTTTTAAAACATCTGATTCCGTGCCTTCAATTAGCACTAATGAAGAAATCCTTTCTGTTGTTTCACACAGTTGCAATTATTGCTGAAATGCATATCACGATTCAAACTCCAAGTTTCAACTCTTCTCGGATATTACGGGATGAAAAAATTGTGATGAAATTACGAATTTCATCACCGACACTTTTTTTAAAAAAAATCATACGGAAGAGACTGCAAAGAACAAACTGAAAGAATTAACTCTGATAAAATCTCCCACAAAATTATAAATTATTTCGTGGAATTCTTTTAGATAATGAAAATGTCGTCTTGTAATATCAAAATATTTACTTATTTATTTCATGATTATTTCAGTAGATTAGATGATAATATGTGAACCGCAATGGAATGGAAGAAAGTGATCTAGTCTAATTTTAAGGTATTGTCCAGCTTTTGCCTAGAGACTGGTCCTTGGGCTGATATTTGAACCCAGGACCACTCAAGTATGACGCAGGAGTGTTGTCCCACCAGGAACCGAACTCCAGTTGTCCTTTCTGTATTCAGACTGAACTATCCCAGCTCTATTCTTCGCTTTAATAATATGAAATTTCAACTGGACATGATACGACGATTTAAAATGTAGTGAAATTACTTGATGAAAACTTGTGAAAAAAAGAAGATTCGATAATTAAGGGAAATAATAAATATTAAAAATTCAGTTGTGTGTAGCCAAAAATCGAGTTTATAACATGAATATGATCTCACCGATATGTAATTACATAATTTAGAAAAAGTGACAAAAATATTGCTACTTCCATTTTTCTTACATAACCTCAGAATTATTAATTCCCTTTGTCCTCTTTATGATTTTCAATAAACTTCATATTTCAGACAATATTACGCTCGTTTGAAACACGACTTATTACATTCGACAGATACGAGAAGGCTAAGTTCTATCAACTTTATGACAAGATCGGAAACTGTTCCTCGACTGATGACTCGCCTCTCTTCTTCTCAGATATTACACATAAATAAGTAGAATACGCATGTTCTATAACCACCGAAGGTTAAATATTAAAACGAGAAATGTATCACACTTAGTTTGAAGCAGGAAACACCCAGATTGGACAATACGCTACCAAGACAAAATGGAAGCGATACAATTTGGTATTATACTGTGACATATTAAATTTTAAACTGCGACATGAACTATAAAGCTCCAGCTTTAGATCCCTAATACGCGCTAATTCTCTGCGTCTAACAAATATTTTACTTAAAGAATGATTAAGTCTTAACTACGAAGAATTCTCGTGGCAAGAATGGCGATACGGAATATGACAATGCTGGTGGTAAGATTTATTTTACGTATTCAAGTACACGTGATAGGTTATGTTAAAATATGACGTGATGAGGCGGGATATCTACAATTTCTTATGACAGGAATGACAACAGGAGCTTCGATAATACTTATACTTGCAGAGTCTTGCCTGGACTACCATGTGACAGTTGCGGAATTTATCGTCGCAGTCTTCACCTGAAAGCATAAATATTCACGTAACAAAACTGAAGTCTAGGAAAGATATTTCTGAAGAAAGTAAATTCTAGCTCGCGTTACAGATTTTAACGTTGAATAACGTTTATAAAATCGCGGTACGCTCGACGCAAACCGCGAGACGTAAGGTAACGCTGGCGCGTAACTTCTTCAAGCGCCAATAACTCCAGACGTCGTTTCTTAACTTCAACCGCTTGCCACGTCTAAAGCGTAAGAGTTAGATCGGGACATATTGCGAGTGAAATACGTAAATAAACACGAGCTCTTCAAATTTGCAAACAGATTTCAGCTAACTCTTACGGTTTAGGAGTTATGGCCATTTATTTGGTAGCAAAGAATAACGTTTATAACATCGCGGTACACTCGACGGAAAGTATACGATGTAAGGCGCGTAGCTTCTTCAAGCGCCAGTAACTCCAGACCTCGTTCCTTAACTTCAACCGCTTGCCACGTCTAAAGCGTAAGAGTTAGATCGGGACATATTGCGAGTGAAATACGTAAATAAACACGAGCTTTTCAAATCTGCAAACAGATTTGAGCTAACCCCTACGGTTTAGGAGTTTTGGTCATTTATTTCGTAACACAGAACGGTTCTAGAGCGATCGTTTTGAGTACATGACGCAACGCATAGATAAGCTGTCGGCGGATGACGTCACGTATAGATACGACGTAAAGGTAAATAAAATTTTATTTCGGTACAAATATACTTGTATAGTTAAACGTTATTCAACGTTAAGTAGGGAACCGTGGTTCCACCGTCAATTTTTTTTAGATTAAGCGACGCTAAGTGGAATATGCGAACGCTCGACTCTGTCGACTTTAACTGCGATACCTTTCTGTGTCCCTTCGTACTGTTCCTCTCGGTGCGCCTGATCGCCTGCACCATTCTTGAATTCCGGATCACTTTCTGGTTTAGACTGAGTTTGACCTGTGGAACTCAAGCACACATGTAGTGTAGTAATTTCATCTGCTGTGTATACTACTGGATACAAAAGGCATTTTTAAATACTTCAAGAACAAATTTATTACGTGTATTCAGATGGAAATTATAATATTTATCAATTTCCCCCCCCCCTTCTCAAAAGCAATGTCTGTGAAGCGTAAAAAGCACTTGGGAAGACTAAAACTGAGGTACCTGCATGACTGGTGGAACACTCGTGAGTGTTGCATATCCGCTTATTGGGTGGTCGCGTGTCTTCCGCGCAACCGACGGAGACTTGGTGCTTCTCGTCCACGCATTTCACTTCTCGCTTCTGAACGCCCGATCCACAGTCTCTGGAACACTGTGCATCAAGACGATATTTCAATGTTCAACTTCGACCTAATAATAATCGCCTCGATTTACAAAAGTGGTAACGCTGAAACGTCTGCTGTAGTTTAAATTACGTACAGAAAACAATCACTCAAGACAGAATTTGAAGAAAAACAGGATCAAAGATAAGAAGAAAAAATTCATTTTCGAAATAATAGCCACTGTAGACGACGTACATGTGTCCAGTCGGTGAAGAACCACTCGGGACTGCACGGCTTCTCCTCGCAAGGTCGTTCGGTCTCTGGTCTGAGTCCACTCGGACAATTCATATCAAGGGCTACCCTGTACTGTCCTCGAAGGAATGTGGCACAGATGACGTCCCTCGTTTGGTGGCCGTGTCCACAACCAGAGGAACACTGCGAGAAATGTTACCAATATTTCTTTATTACGCCGTCTCCTTTGGCGACATATGTTTTTTAGGCAGGTGATACAGAAGTGATTTTCCACTGCCTTCTTCAGTAAATATGGAGTGCCACGGAGAAACCGGGGAAGCCCCGGAGGAAAACTCCGTGTTGCCTAGACCACGGCCTTGCCCAACACAAGTTATAAATTCGGGCACCGTCGGGAATCGAACCCGAGACCCCAGGATAAGGCCAGCGTTCTAATCGCTAGACCACCGTGGCGGCTTTATAGGCCTTGACGAATACTTCGCATGGCATAAATATCTTTAAAAAAAATCAAAGAGTAGATTAAAATGCATGATCTTTATACAAATATAAATAAACTGTTAAAGAAATAAATACGTTCCTTGATTTTACACAGAAGTGAGAAGGAGTAATGTTAGATGACGAAATTAATTACCTGTCCCCAGGGCCCAGAGAACCATTTGCCACTGCACTGTTTGTCACTTGAACAGGCTCGACTCTCATCGGGCTTGGAGCTCGCATCACAAGAATCTAATCCAGGTCCTGAACAGTGAACCTTCCGGGTCTGAACTCCCGTTCCGCAGTCTTCGGAGCACTGCAGTCAATATTGAAAGTTACCCTCCATTTTAAGTTAAAGAAATGACATCGCCTGGCAAGAGGATATTGTACGATATCGTGTTTTGATAAAGCAAGAGTCAAATTTTAAATTTATCAACTTAATTTGTCATGAATCACCAGTGAAGTTACGCTGAGTCGACGCCAATACGTAAATTTCCGCGCAGTGATACTTACTTGTTGGGTCCACTTCGTATAGAACCAGGACGCGTACGCACCGGCAGGGCAGTGGCCCATATCACAAGTTTCCTCGTGTTCTGGCTTTCCGTCTTGTGGGCAGTCATCTGCATTTTCGTTGCCCGGACCCAGACATTTCACTGACCGAGAGCGGAAACCTTGCCCACACGCGACTGAACACTAGTCAGAAAAAAGGGAAACATTCACGAAAAGATTTCCATCGTCACTATTTCAAACCAGTTTTGATTTTACATTTTCTTATATTTGTATTTGTTTACGTAGGTTCGAAATTATTATTATTTTCTTTATGACGAACAGAGACCAAGATTATTTGATAACAGGGTTCTAGGGTAAATATTTATACAACACGTCCACTAAAACTTTCTTTTTTAATACCGTGGTCACTGAAACGTCTTCTCCTAACCATAAGGCAGCTAAAATTATTCTTGTCACATTTTTTTAATCGGCCAATAACAGATTTTCTTCTCTCAAGAAAGGGTCCGAAGGTAGGCTTTTGTAAACACGGTAATGAACCTTTGAGTTCCATAAAAGCAGTGAATGTCTTTAAAAAAACTAATTTTAACTTTTCGGGAATACATCTGACCATAAAGCGAGTGAGTTAGTTATTATTCGAAGACTCGATCGTAAAACTAAATAAAATGGCTGTTAAACTCTGACCTTTCCCCATTGGCCAGCCTGCCACCTAGAATTCCTCGGTTCCTCCTGCTGTTGTGTCTGTGGACATGGCGGAAGCGCGCATTTCTGTGTTCGTGGCAGAACTGGCGGAGTAAGACAAGCCCCTTCTACAACCTTCATAGTCAACGTGGGGCTGATTTCCTGCTTGCACATCAGATCTCTTTTCTGGATTCCTTCTCCACAGGTCACGGAACATTCACTCCACTCGCCACCCACCCACCTGCAAGGCCATTCGTAACGATCACGTCACACAAAAGTTCTTTTCCTTTTACCTACGTAAAAATGTCAGTTGTGCCAACCCCTGATGTAAACACGAGTGGTTTCCCCCCCCCCCCCCAAAAAAAAAAAAAATGTTTACTAAACCTGCGTCTACGTAAGTGATAAATCCTCTGACGTACTTACTCGGCGGGACACGGTTTAACGCTGCAGCGAACCGTCTGAGTAAGAGGCTTCTCGTGATGTGAGCATCTCCTGTCTAATACTACTTGTTGGTTATGTTCCTTCACGCACTTCACCAGTGACATCTGAGTGCCTAGAATATGTAAAGCGGTTCATCAACGTACGAGTCTGGCTTGCGAGCCCGGCTAGGCTCGGGTTCCATCGAGCCAAACTCGTCTGTGAGTGGGGTGTCACGAGCCGAGTCTGCTACGCATGCGCAGTGAAATATATCCGAGCCCCGCTCACGAGTCAAGCTCGCCGAGCCAGACTCGTACGTGGATGGGCTGCTTAACAAGTTAAAAAGCACAGTCTGAAATACATTTATATAATTTAAAATATCTAAATCTATGGTGATGTAATAAAATTAGGTTCTGACTTTAATACGCGGCAACTATGAAATGAATTCAGCTGTGCGTATGGAGCACTTATAGAAAATTAAAAATTGTAAAAAAAACTTGAAGTTAGCACCAATATCACGTGATTTGTCATATGAATACAGACCACATACTTATACAAATTGTCTTAAGTAATGTCTATTATGTGTTAAAAATTACAAATGTGACAGGAGCGTGAATTTTTTAATTTACATCTGATTAACATACACTGCAGTGACTACGTATTCTAGTCAAAATTACGTAAAAGAACTGCATCATTAATTGCGTAACATTATTAATTTATCATTTTTGTTAGTTTCAGCACACGGAAGAAAGTATCTGAAAAAAGCTGTCATCATAAACTTCTCATTTCATACCTGCAACCTTCAGTTTATATTTGAGGTTATGTTACCTTCCCTTCTTAGGCCAAAAAAAGTACGTAATATTGAAGTATATAACTTTTCTTACCAGCCACTCTAACCTGCAGAATCTCCGTCACACACATCAAAAAACATCTCAGAACCACCTTAAATTAAACTGACATGAAAATTTAAAAAATTATGTTATTTAGAAGAAAAAAATACCGCCTTACAAAGCGCCATATTGTCTGCTTATCTGAAATGAAATAAACATCACGAATACACAAATAAAGCACGAAAACACTGACAATAAACTTACCTCCTCCACATGTTTTTGTGCATTCGGTATATCCAATTATTTTCCATACGAATTTCCGTTTCCTGCCACGGATTCTAGGTTGTGGTCTCGTGGCTTCGTCTCCTACCGGTGTCGCATTCTGGTGGCCGGGATGGTAATTACCTTGCCTCTGAGATTCAGTACCTTGGACCCCACTGCCGTATGGGTACAGTGGATCATCAGATCTGATACGGAGAACAGGATCAAAATGGAATATAAATGTTGATCGTTTATTATAAACGCTTCGAGAAAAAAAGGATAGTCATTAAATTATTTGATAATTATTAGAGTCGGTTAACAGAGCTATGATTCCTGATTCCAAATCCTGTTATCAAATAACTTGCTTTTGTCGGTCTATCCATTCATCGTAACCATAGTTCGTATCAAAAATAAGGACGCCAACTGAAATGCAGTATGAACATCGTGATACTGTATACCTCCACATCTCCACGGTATTCAGACGATCTGTAAGTCAACTTCTGCTACGGAAACCAAGTCTTAAAACTATGATGAAGAATCTCTTCAGCGGACTTTACCCCGAGCCAACTTAACGGAGTTCTCAAATTCAAAATCCAACTTCTGTAAGATCGATTTTTATCTTCCATAACACGGCGATGTCTCTGAAGTGGTCTCCTCCGCTCAGATTTTACTATAAAACTTTTGTGTAAATTTCTGATTTTTGCCTTACGTGCTATATGACCCGCCTTTCGCATCCTTACCGACTTACTCACTTTTCACCACCGTAACGACCACCAACGCTTATTAACAACAGAACAGAAAATCTGCCACATTACCTTCTGGTATCAACTTCATCAAACGTTGGTCCATTTCTTATGGTTACGTCATCCGTCGGATTATTCAAGCCTTAAAAGGAGGAGAGATATAATGACAAACACACAGAAAATGGTCCAATGATTCCAGTAGCAAACGAAACAACTTAAATTATCAGACAAATGCAATAAAACACGCTTCAGTGTTTAAACTTTAACAACATATTGTTCAAAATTTATCTTCGCGACCTCTCCCACTTCTAGCAAACACACACGAAAATAAATACATTGTGTTCAAACACTGGTTTAAATAGACGTAAATATATTTTCTTGGCCATACGTAAGTAACACCTTCTGTACCTGCAGGCACTAACAGGGGTGGGGCGATGATCCCATTATCGGCATCGCTTCGGGGCACGGATGGGGCTGACATCAAGGCTGGTGTCGGATCCCCTAGCTTCATCGGTAGCATATACTCGTACTTGATACCCGGATTTGGCTGCTGATAGATTACCTAAAAAATGTTATTTGTAGCCTATGGTATATATATTTTAAAAACTAAAGTTTACACAATGGACAAACCCCACGATTCAGTTTACACCTCACATTCCAAAATTCTTAGACCGTGCAGCAGATAAGTTAAAATTAGATCAAAATGCAGTCACTAAGTTCCAAAAATAACACATCTTAACTGCTCAGTTTACTCCAATTTCTGTTCCTTAACCATCGCTGAAATACCAACACCTCCCTACAAGGTTCACTAAAAGAAAATATAACTTTGTGTATGAAATGTAAAATACATTAGATGCAACTATTCATATAAACAAAAACTACAATTTTAGACACAAAGTTTTACAGTTCACGTAGAAAAAGTCCCTGACGTAGCCTAGAACCGTTATAAAAACAAAAAAAAACAAAAAAATTAGCAAGTCTCTATGCTTACCATGAGGTCCACAGGTTCCATCAGTGGCCCTGGTGCCTCGATTATTTCGCCGTTGTTAGCATCCTGGCGTCGGTAGGTGAAACGGGTTCCGGATCAAAATGGAATATAAATGTTGATCGTTTATTATAAACGCTTCGAGAAAAAAAGGATAGTCATTAAATTATTTGATAATTATTAGAGTCGGTTAACAGAGCTATGATTCCTGATTCCAAATCCTGTTATCAAATAACTTGCTTTTGTCGGTCTATCCATTCATCGTAACCATAGTTCGTATCAAAAATAAGGACGCCAACTGAAATGCAGTATGAACATCGTGATACTGTATACCTCCACATCTCCACGGTATTCAGACGATCTGTAAGTCAACTTCTGCTACGGAAACCAAGTCTTAAAACTATGATGAAGAATCTCTTCAGCGGACTTTACCCCGAGCCAACTTAACGGAGTTCTCAAATTCAAAATCCAACTTCTGTAAGATCGATTTTTATCTTCCATAACACGGCGATGTCTCTGAAGTGGTCTCCTCCGCTCAGATTTTACTATAAAACTTTTGTGTAAATTTCTGATTTTTGCCTTACGTGCTATATGACCCGCCTTTCGCATCCTTACCGACTTACTCACTTTTCACCACCGTAACGACCACCAACGCTTATTAACAACAGAACAGAAAATCTGCCACATTACCTTCTGGTATCAACTTCATCAAACGTTGGTCCATTTCTTATGGTTACGTCATCCGTCGGATTATTCAAGCCTTAAAAGGAGGAGAGATATAATGACAAACACACAGAAAATGGTCCAATGATTCCAGTAGCAAACGAAACAACTTAAATTATCAGACAAATGCAATAAAACACGCTTCAGTGTTTAAACTTTAACAACATATTGTTCAAAATTTATCTTCGCGACCTCTCCCACTTCTAGCAAACACACACGAAAATAAATACATTGTGTTCAAACACTGGTTTAAATAGACGTAAATATATTTTCTTGGCCATACGTAAGTAACACCTTCTGTACCTGCAGGCACTAACAGGGGTGGGGCGATGATCCCATTATCGGCATCGCTTCGGGGCACGGATGGGGCTGACATCAAGGCTGGTGTCGGATCCCCTAGCTTCATCGGTAGCATATACTCGTACTTGATACCCGGATTTGGCTGCTGATAGATTACCTAAAAAATGTTATTTGTAGCCTATGGTATATATATTTTAAAAACTAAAGTTTACACAATGGACAAACCCCACGATTCAGTTTACACCTCACATTCCAAAATTCTTAGACCGTGCAGCAGATAAGTTAAAATTAGATCAAAATGCAGTCACTAAGTTCCAAAAATAACACATCTTAACTGCTCAGTTTACTCCAATTTCTGTTCCTTAACCATCGCTGAAATACCAACACCTCCCTACAAGGTTCACTAAAAGAAAATATAACTTTGTGTATGAAATGTAAAATACATTAGATGCAACTATTCATATAAACAAAAACTACAATTTTAGACACAAAGTTTTACAGTTCACGTAGAAAAAGTCCCTGACGTAGCCTAGAACCGTTATAAAAACAAAAAAAAACAAAAAAATTAGCAAGTCTCTATGCTTACCATGAGGTCCACAGGTTCCATCAGTGGCCCTGGTGCCTCGATTATTTCGCCGTTGTTAGCATCCTGGCGTCGGTAGGTGAAACGGGTTCCGACGGCCTCGTACACTCCAGACCAGTTGATGGCCCAATTTCCGTTAATGACGTAGTTACCATCAGAACGTCTCAGAGCTACAACACGCGTCAGCTATGAATATCCATGGCAATAAATAAAAGAGTACACATACAAATAACGTAAGTTAGTTGGCAACAAATTATTCATCTAAGAATCTCACAATGATGTAGTGGTTAGATCCTCTGCTTCGTTTCGACAGACGTCACTTTCGATTGTCGGATGTGAGATAGTACAACACTTTTGACTGAAGACTTGTGAAACACCTGTCAATCCTTTCGAAAGGAAAGCAATAATCAAAAGAGTGACACTTCCGCGTAGTGACGCCGTCTCGTAACTCAGCTGTTAAATGCAATGTTTATAGGCGCTTTGACCGCTGGGTTATTGAAATAAATTACTAAGTCATTTAGCATACAAAATAAAATCAAACGGCTATTTATAGACCAATTATACTCGTCGATATGCCACTTATACCATATAAATAAACAGGTTCAGCTGATAAAATTCTTGACTAAGTCAATTTACTTAAACCTTGTCAACAGAGAGTTTGCAGGTTTTATAATAAGCTGTCATTTCTCACCCACGAACGCTAGGTAAATATCGATTAAGTCAAATGACTGTCTAAGATCTCAAAAGGGCAACTTTTTATTTGTTCTGTCAGACCGTTAAAAATTGGCATTGTTAGTTATTTTCACGGCTTCAAACTAGTTGATTATTGGCAGCGAACAATATAATTCACAGGATAACGAGTAATAGTCAAAATTTACGTAAATAGCTGACAACCAGCTACTAAGTATGTTATTTTTATGGGGACGTCTTTTAAAGTGGTTTCCAAAATTTTTTTATTCACAGGCAATTTATAGGTTTTCCAATGACCGGTCTATCTCATACTGCAGGCCTAAGGTCTACAAATCTCATTATTACTAACATACTTAAACGTCAACACAATTAAAATCAGCAAAAATAAGCGACAATAAAGTTAGAAAATGTAGTCTCCACGTGGCGTAACAATAATGGAGCGTTAGCCTTATTTTGCCTTTACGCACGTGGGTCTTCGTCTAAAGCACTCGTTGTTGCTGCCAGATTTCAACCAAATTTGGAACGTTTCCACAATATTTTATCATATCGCAGAAATATCACATTTTGATTAAACCTATTCAGCCTTTCTCGAGTTGTTAATTCGGACAGAGACACAGACATGCAGACATGGGAAAGCTAATATGGAATTTTGAAACTTTTATTTGTGAACGAGTCTTAAAAGAATACGTTTTATGCAAACCATTTAGTCACTGAAATTAAGGTAAAAAATGTTATTGGTCGTAAAATAATTTTATTAAATTTAATAAAATGAAGGCGTAGGTAACGTCAACTAATATTTGCCGTCCAAAAATTAAAATAAATTCAATTGTAACTTAATATTATGCGTCGTTATATGCACAGAGAATGAGAATGATAAATACAGGAGGTTGAAAAACTTTTTATTTCTCTGATCACATAGTATCAGAACATTTAGAAGATTAACCTTGTCTTATCCGTGCGCTTTGGACATATCCTACGTGGTTACTAGGCAACTCAATTTACTCCATACGTCACCACTGTTTTAATATCAACTGTAGGCTACATTTAACTGAGATTTTGTTGAATATCTACACTGCGTCAGAGGTCACGGAAGGTATTTTAGAAAATAAACAGCGAACCTGCTTCCTCAGACCTCAGTTAGTACGTGTGTGTACTATGAACAGCTTTCCCCTTTCAAGCTGTGGCAGGTTTATTGTGTGTAATTTAAAGCACTTAACTTAGGGATACCGGATGGCGCCTGTAAAAGTAGTTCCCCATTTAGCCTGCCGAGAAAATAAAAAGAAATTATTGTAATTCCACTGCTAGTTACGTGGTCGCTTTGATCAACACAGAACCGTGTACGTTTTACATTGAACTCTTCTCACATACTATTTAAAATAAAGTCTATAATGCTTACAGGTGGAGTTATTTAGTTAACTCGTGTAAGAAAACACCATTTATTTAAAGAAATACAGTATTTTGTAATTGAATTAACTGTTTGTGTGTACGGAATTATAAAAGTGAATAGAATTTTTTATAATTATAGCGGGCACGTAAAAGTGTTTTCATGGAAATATACAGCATAATTAAAATTCATCGTTTCTTGTGACAGTCGATTAATTTGTGAGAGTTATGAAATTCGGCAGGTAATTTTAACTTTCGTGGACTAAAGCATTTTAATGGGATACGTATCCTGTGATACCGCAAAATTGCGAAACTTTTCAACACTACGTAATTTTAAAATAAATGCGTATCAATGCATTCGTTTGAGTCTGAAAATAAAAAAAAATGAAGGGTGTGAAGTTTTCAGTGCCTTTGTGAGAGGACAGCAAACGTTTGACCGGTCCTTTTTAGAGGATAGCGCATGTTTCGTGATTATCGTGTTTAATAAACCTTTTCAACATTTGATGGACACAGCTGCTTTCATATGAAGCGGGATTTCCGCGGCTGCAATTTTGTCAACCGGAGCGATGCTCAAACGATGAGTGGATATATGATAGGTTTGTTAGATTGTCAGAACAGTAGCCACAATCTGTAATATGATTAGTTTTTGAATACTGTCAGTTCCATGTTGGCAGAATCACAGAATCAGGTATCTGTCTCGCTGCAGATAAAGGGGTTGTTGATTTATGGGATTCATTGAAGAGATCGTGCCATTTAACCACAGTATCGAAAACTAAACAGGTCTGACCAACAAATGATTTAAGAAAGCACTTCACAGCACGACAGAATATTTTAAAATCATACTAAATTATTAAAAATTTCTCATACCCAAAATATATTTAGTTTTATTCCAAATATCACGTGGATTACTTACATTTAATTAAAAACGACAGAATACGTCTGTTAACGCGACATTAATTGTGCTGTTAATAATATCAGAGACATTTTAATGCAGGGGTTGGCAACATGTGACCCTCACATGATTTGAGAGTAAGCCCGCGTGAGAAAGGCAAACATTTTCTGCTACTGAGGAAAATTTTGATATGTTACATATGTAGCACGGAGCTAGTGTCGAATGATAGGATGATTAATGAATAATTAACTGGAAAAGTATGTAGAAGGAAGTTATGACATAATTTATTATCTTGGAATTTACCAAAAGGGATTGAGGAAAACCAGCAGTCAGGCCAACATTCTAGAGGATGAGATTTCAACCCGGAACTAAGATACGAAACACGAATGTAACCACTCGGTTTCGACGATTGGTACTTAGGAGAGCAATAATTCGATTATTCATTATCCTAAATGTGGAAGTGCGAATGAACAATTTCGGGACAGAAAACTTACCCAAATAGTTACGACTCTGCTTCAGCTCGGAGATGGTGATGTTGCATGCACCGCGTGGTATTTGGGCGATGAGATTGTAGCCCACGGGGAGCTGGGGGCGCGTAAAAAGCCCAGATACCACCCGGCAGGTGCTGTTGTCTCCGCCACAAACGCCACATGCATCCACCAGCTTGGTAGAACCAACGACACCGTCACAACCCACGTTCTGTGAACAACAACAGTCATACCAACCACATAAATCATACGACAGAGAAACCCCACTGATTTTAGTGCTTGTTTAAAGATCTACACAGTGCAACAACCCAGAAGACGGAAATCTTCATCGCCCTGATGACGGAGGCAGTATGACCTCTGAAACGTTGGTTAGCATCGACCATACTACACAGCGCAACAACCCAGAAGACAGAAATCTTCATACTCACCGCCGTGAAAACCTCAAATCTTACATATGTAAGGTTGTAACTTGCCAAAAATATTTCAATGATCAAGCCTCTTGTGTAGATGCAAATCAAATTGTATACACACTTGTCCCATGTTCGTATTTATTTATTTGTGCTAGCTATACATTACCAGTAACATGTTATTTGAAAGAAGTAAAATAAATAGCACGCTTACAGCGAATTAGACCACGGTTATGGGGACACACAAAACAAATAGGGATCAAAAATCCTACTTTGTTTACGAAAGTAGGATTAACATTCATCATGTATATCCACCCAGTCCTGAATTTGAAAGTAGCTCTTCCTGACTGAGGGAGAGACATGGCACTTCTGAGCAGCAAGATTATCTCAGACTACAGCAGCAATTAGTTTGTCCACAGCATGTACTTGGCAGCTGCCATTATAAACAACGCTTCACAAGTCAGTCTGTTCGCGAAACTTCTAAAAATAGTCTCGTCATATAAACAGATAACCAAGATCTCAAATTACACAAATGCGATATCCATTTTTTTTATTTTATGTCATATCATATCACATTATTTTCACTTCCAGTAAGTATGTTTGCTTGTTTGTCGTCAGTCTTTCGACTGGTTTGATGCGGTCCTCCATCTTCGCCTATCTTGCGCCAATCTCTTCATTTCCACATCCTCAAAAATCTGCGTCACATGTTCCAATCTTTGTCTCCCCCTACAATTCTTCCCTTCTTCTGAGGCACCCAGGATTGGTTAATTTGGTAATGGAAGTTCCTTCCATTACCAAATTAACCAATCCTGGGTGCCTCAGAATGTGTCCCACCATCCTATCTCTTCTTCTCGTAAGATTTTTCCATAGACTCCTTCCTTCGCCTATCCTGTCTAAGACCACCTCATTTCGTACTTTATCAGTCCACTTAATTTTCAACATTTGAAAGGCTTCAATCCTTCTTTGTGGCTTTCCCACTGACCGTGTTTCGCTTCCAAACTTATAACTTCAGAAAAATCTTTCTTAATTCCAGATCAATGTTTAAGTAAGTAAGTAAGTAAGTATATGGGCTCATATTTGTTAAAATCAATACTAATAAATGCGCAGAAATAACCCGGTTGGCCATGACGTAATTTACTTATTAAAAAAACTTTTCGCCATTACTCCTTCTGTATCGATGCCTGTCACCGGTAACACGAATTCCGCTGAAGATACTCATCGCTCGAAATAGCCTACCATTCCTTTCGTGAAACTTAGCGACGGGCATAAATACAAATTTAATGAGGTAACAAGCGGTTAAAAAATGGCGCCTGTATAGAAACAGGAAGCCGGTTGCAAGATATTCTGTACTAGCCTGTTAAAGACTTCGAGATTCTAATTTCTCTCCTGACATCTAAGAACACAAAGCAAAACTGTTTGGCCTTCTGCATGCTTGTGACATCTAGCGTCGGCCTAATAACTGTAAACTTACTACAATATATATTAAATTAAAAATCCGTTCTTGATATACGTAAAATTGAAGTACATGGTACCGAAACTCAGGGGCTCTGGGCAGCTTCCACTTTATCGACAGCATTCAGCGACCCTAGTTACCTGAAAAGACTGTACCGAGTGTTAAAAGAGGTCAGCCAAAGACGTGAAGCCCGCGCGGAACAATAGGATGTGAGATGTCCAGGTTAATTATCGTTTATCGACGATCAAAATCTCACGCACTGACTTTATTGTGTCCGTGTTAGCTGGACACCAGCAGTTCAGATGACCCTGAGAGTTCCACACATCATGTTACGTCTATAAAAGTACATTCATATCAATAATTTCGTCCGGTTTTCTTCTGTTCTAACATAATAAATATTTGTAATTTTGGAAGTTGCATTTCTTTTGCGTGAAACCTTACAACTGACTAAAAATAAGGGCCTGTCTTACTGTATCATCATTACATTCTTTTAGCGGATAAAGTAATAAAAACCTAATAGCGATTGCTAACGAAGAATTCAAACCACGGACTAAATGAATACGACGCAACAAATCATCACAGCCCGCATGGTTGAAGAAATTAAGGTACCTCTGACCTCTTCTTACAGACTGACCAACCTCCCGCACGAAATGCCTCAGCGGGGGATTCTACGCTTAGCAGGGTGCAATAAGATCATATTAGGGCGGTGGTATAAGGTTGTAGAAGCGATAATTACCCTCTCCTCACATCATCACATGTAACCAATCAGAATTTAAATGCGAGTCTGTAGAAATCAGACAGGACTGTCGTATTTTGTTTCAGTTTTGAAGATGGCGGAAAGAATGATTCATACCGAAGGGGGTTTGTTTCGCAACAAAACCAAACACTTTAATTGTCGAAAGAGACAGGAAGATTACTGGTTGTCTCCCTCCTGAAGACCGTAGTAACAGACGTGTCTGATAATTTCTGTGAGTCTTGTCGAAATCTATGAAGCACCTGGATTACTAATCATCGTTTCAGTTCCGTAAATTTTAAGACCCGTGGAATAACCTAATGGTTAAAACACAATTTAAATCAATAAACGAGTATGTACATCTCTGGAATCTTACAGGACCGTGACGTGATTCTGTAGACACACTGTGTGTTTAGTAATCAGTGCCCAGTATGTCTAGCACGGTGTAAGGTAGCATGCTATAATCTGTAGAGATTTCAACAAAGGCGGAATATATATTGCAATTTTAGACTTGTTCTCTGTATTTTAGATAAATAATTCAATAGCTTTTACAATTATAATAATGTTATAAGGCCTAATAATATGTGGAATTACACCTACGTAAGTCAGTTCGATTAGATTTATAAATTAAATAGGCCAAAGTCTCTAGACACCAAATTAAAACATTACAGGGGCTAAATAACATAAATTTAAACATATGAACGTGGATGGGGGTTAAAAATTTTACACGTAAAAAGAATGGTTAGATTTTGTTAGAAAAAAATAAAACATGAACTACGTCATAATTATAACTGCAGCCATAAATCATAGGTTGAATTTTGTATTTGAAACAGCGTTATTAAGCAGTGAAATTAAATCATCATTATCATCAATCACGAGATTTGTAATCGCCTATTCAATCTCATTTGTTTAATATGCGTTTTGATTTCTTTCCTTGCAATATTTTTTTTTCCTGAGTTACTAGAATTTAAAACTGCCTTTTGAATATAATTTTATCATCTTCTTCCATCCTTTCTTCATGTTCGTGTTTCCTACATTTACTTCCAGTCTGAGATTCTGTTTGTAATATTATTATTCTCTAACTCCAATATCCTTGGTTCGTCTTTGATCTCGGAAGAAAACTGCCACTCTCAAACAAAACTAATTTCAGAAGCGTCGTGGTCCTGAAAGCAGATTTTGGAGACCCTCAAACTGAATACCATGGGGCACAGCGCAGATCACATTCCCTTACATTAGCCTACCAGTTTGTTGACTTAACTTTGCACGTGACATGCGTGCTAACAACGCCCATGGTTCAATATGTTGACATATGTTATCTTCCTTCCACCGACCATGTAAAGTGAGGTCGTAATTTATTCACTGCAGTTAATCCGGTGTTTTAATGAGGGTAATAAATGTCTTGTGTAAACATCAAACAAAATGCAAAACGAAATTTAGAGACTGAAATATACTTGATGTTATAAACAGTGAGTGGTCATACACCGTTCGAAATTGCTGATATGAAGACTTGGTATTGGATACACAAAATAAAATTTAAAATACTTAAAACAGATATAAAAATTCATACTAGTTAGGGTCTGAATCAACAAACTTTTCTCACCAGGTTAAGATATTGATACACTAGCTAAAACACATCCCATTGCTGGATTATATAAATATATTATTAACAACACATTATTTTAAAGTCCTACCGGAATGAAGTTTTCGAAAAAAGTAAGAAATACAAAAAAAAATTATCTCCTTTTTAGTGCGAATAATTTAACGTAACAGACAAGACACGTTCATCTGTCTCTGGTGGAAAATTACTTGAGGGAAGTTACGAATAAGTTAATGGAAGAAAATTAATAATAATTAAGATTGATGCTAAACGTTTTACTGAAAGATACTGAAACGTAGTGAAGTGAATATATGCAAATAAAAGATTTCACATCTGAACTGTTATAAATTTCGGAATGTCTGTATTACTGCGTACGTCCAAGTTGAAATTTCGATACCGGTGGCTTGACATGGTAGCGGATTTGTGATCGATGTTTGATGAATAAGCTAGTACTCTATGTTTAACTGAAGGTTTAAAATACGACAGTACCGAATGCCAGATTTGACTGAATCGATTTGTATATGGTTCACAACAGAGGTTCTAAATTAGAAACGATACACACAGTAACGAACAGCACTGAATGGTTTAAACTAACACGAGAAAATTTGTATTAATCATGAACGTAAATCGTTAATCCAGAGAGAAGATATTAAGACATTTCAATAACACTGCAAATTCAATTAAAATTACTTGCAATTCTGTTTCACTTCCTGCTGCGAGTTCTGAAATTATGTTCGCAATGCAAACTACAAGACTAAATGCAATATTTAGAAGGTAAACACTTTTACAAGGGCTCTTATCTTACTATTTAACAACTCCGTAATCTGTTATATGGAATCCATAAGGATTTTTGCCGTTTTAATTGATCACCCAACAACCCAACTCAAGACCCAACCACAAGGTCTCCCGAAAATATGTTCACGAGGTCACAAAATTTCCTACTTTTATAGCGACTGAAAGTGGCAAGATTTTTCGACCAAATTCTGTATGCATTTCCCCCATAAATCCCATATGCCCATTT